TTGGGGTGCATAGGTTCTTTGGAATTGGTGTTTCAGGATTCTTAGGTTATATAATCTCAGCAGTGGAATTCCTGGATCAAAGGCAGTTTCATTTTTAGTTCTCTGAGGAAATTCTATGCTGTTTTCCACAGTGGCTGCACCAGTCTGTATTCCCACCAACAGTGCACCAGGGTTCCCTTTTCTCCACATCCTCGCCAGCACTTGTTGTTTGTTAATTTGTTTATGATGGCCATTCTGACTGGTGTGAAGTTGTATCTCATTGTGGTTTTAATTTGCATCTCTCTGATGGCTAGTGATGCTGAGCATCCTTTCATATATGTCTATGGGCCTTCTGTACATCCTGTCAGGGTCATTATTGATAAATGCAAAAGTGGACCTTATGCCTAAATAGAGCTCAGAAAACCAGATCAGGAGGAAAACAACAAAGGGAAGACATTGACTCTTACTATTTCATCTTAGTATAAATTAGGTAAGAAGTATTATCCTAATGGCAATGTAATGATGAGAAAGATAGTAGAAAATTATGTAGTCATAGAATGGAATATTATAATGTAGAGTATGGAGAAGGAAAATGAGACATATGCTGACCTTCAGAGCTCGTCCATCAACTATGATCTCAAAGAAACAGCCACCGAGGAAATGGTGCAGTTGGCATCACCTCACATGGATTCCTTTCTCAATGCCAGAATCCCATTTTAGTGGGTGAAATAGGAACTCTGAGAGTTAGAATGCCTAGGTTCAAATCCAGTTTCCACATTTAGTACTAGCTGAGTGCCCTTGGATAATTTAGTTAGTATCTCTGTGCCTCAGTTTCCTCATCTGGAAAATGGAGATAATAGTATGCACCTCAGGCATGCTTAAGAGGGTCAAATGAGAATAACACATGTAAAGTGCTTAGAAAAGTGCCTAGCATGTGGAAAACTCTTAATTATTGATCGCTTTTGATGTTATTTTATTATTTTTTATTCACTGAGTTTGAAATCCTTGGTGGTGTCTTGGCTAATAAGGATATGTTCAGGGAATTTCTGGGGAGACCATTTTGTTCGTATTGTAAAAATTTGCTGACACTGGCTATTTTTCTCTCGGGAAAGCAAGGTTCCCTGCATGGCTGCCAGTCCCATTTATTCAAACAAGTGCACTATTATTTGATCATTCCTAATAAATTTTAGATGTTCTTGGATTTATAAATCATTACTAGTAGTCACACTTTGGAATATGGTCACTTGCCCATGACTACATATTAAGAAACTAGTGTTGAACTCAGCATTTACTAACCCCCTCCTTTTACAGAACACACATTTTGAAAATACCTATTTGGCCCCATGCATATTTCTTTCCTTCTCATGACTAACATTCTTTTTTCATGATTCAGGCTAACAATAAACCTGATAATTTTTCACTTAAAAAGATGCAGTTCTAAAACACAGTTATTAGTGCTTAAAAGGTAGAGAAATCACTAAGTCTCTTTGGTGAAAGTGTAGGAAAGCAGGTATAAGGGCATCATTTTTAAAAAAAGTATTCTCAAATAAATCATTCTTTGAGAGATTTTTAAAAAAACATGTCATGCAAGGCACACCCCTTTGATTCTATTCTGTTTTTATCATACCAATCTCCCCTGCAAAACTGAGGTGGTTCATAAATGTTTTCCTCCCAAGCTGTGGGAAATAAGTCTTGAGTAACTTTGGCTCTTTGATAAAATTAGGTTAGGAGACTGCTTATCATTGCAACAATGAACACAAAAGCAATTCAGTTCTGGGGCCTCTGAAAAACTCCTTAGCAGCCCAGGCAATGCTGTTGCTTCTTGTTCTCAGGCATTCCAGGGGAGTGGCAAAGGGGACAGCCAGCACAAGGAATTTTCAAAGTTCTTTTTCCCACCCTTTAGAGTTTATAAGTCTGATCATTCAGAAAAAGATTTGTTTTTCAAGAATCCAAAGTATCCCAAAGAACTATGTTTACCCATAATAGGTCTTGCTCTCTGTTTAATATAGCCAGAGAGACATTGCTTTTTAGACTGTGGTCACATCCCCACAGATTTGACCTCATTTAGTGGACACTATTAAAAGATTATACTATTATTGAGAATTTCCATTGCATCAAATACTAAATATTACTAACATTCCTCTATGGGGAGAGTGATGTAACAAGAGGGCGTAGACTGGGTTAACCTCAGGCAAATTACACAGAGGGTATGTGGAGATTATGCAACTAATCTGCTGACTAATAAAGCCCTACAGTATTGGGAGTACAGCTCTAGGGACAGAAACTTTCCCAGTAGCTCTGAAGTGTTTAGATTCATCTGAAGCCATAGATGGAAATTTTATTTGACTCTGTTGCCTTGGCACCAAGATGGTTATTTTGAAAGATGCCATGGAGGAGAAAGTGTATATAGAAGTGTGGCAGAATGATGGAATGACGGAATGGGAATGGGGTCATAGGCCAGCTAGCTTGCACTGTTTTGTTGTTTACTTTTACAAATGGGGAACACAGGGTTTTCTTTTTTCTTCCTTTTTTTCACTTTGGAAGCCAAATGATGCTTATGAGAAATTAAAACTACAGTGGGAGGGCTGCAAGTGATTTTAGAATCAAAACTTTAAGAAATAATTATACCAGAGAACTAATTTTTGGAATGTTGCTAGAAAAGGTACTCAAAAGAGCAACTAAGGAAGATTCTAGTCAGGAAGACTGGGAAGTCATATTAAGGTTGAATAATTTGGTAAACACAGACAAAATTATACTTATACTTTTTCTTGAATATGTCTTTAAAACAATTGATTATATTTTAATTGCTTAAAAAACAAATTATAAATCTAGTACATGGTCAATAAAAGAAAGTTAAACTCTGGCTGGTATGGTTCAGTGGGTTGAGTGCCGACCTATGAACCAAAGGGTTGCCAGTTTGATTCCCAGTCAGGGCATATGTCTGGGTTGCAGGCCAGGTGCCCAGTTGGAGGCATGCAAGAGGCAATTGATGTATCTCTTACACATCAAGTTTGTCTTTCTCTCTTTCCTTCTCTGTCTCTAAAAATAAATAAATAAAATCTTAACAAAAAAGAAAGTTAAGCAATGGAAATAAAAACAAAATAATAACGGAAAATCTCCTTCCTTCTTTCCCCTACAAGTACTACTATAATTGATTTTTTAGACCTTTTAAAACATATATTAGAAATGTGATTTTTGGAGTGGGGGCTAATAGTATATGTATTTTTGTGCAAATATTTGTACTCAATAATATAGACATCTTTCTACTCTTAGTTTTTTAAAGATTTTATTTATTTATTTTTAGAAAGAGGGAAAGGGAGGGGGAGAGAGAGAAACATCCATGTGTGAGAGAAACATCTCTTGGTTGCCTCTTGCAAACCCTCAACCAGGGACATGGCCTGCAACCCAGGCATGTACTCTGACCAGGAATTGAACCAATGATCTTTTGGTCAGCAGAACAACACCCAACCCACTCAGCCACACCAGGAGGGCATATTTATTATTCTTAAAAAAATATCTTATCCAGCATTTCTTTTATTAGAATAAGTCCAGCTAAAATTTAGTAGTGCTTTTGATTATACTAGTAAAATTCTGATACTTAAAGATAGCAATGTAAGAAATACTAAGAGTATTAGGTTGACTTTGTCATATGCTATTCAAGATGCACGCTATGTGTGTATATACACCCGTCCACTTGTGCTTGTTTCATTCTGGCTCACAACCCGGGCATGTGCCATGGCTGGGAATTGAACCAGCAAGCTTTCAGTTTGCATTCAATCCATGGAGCCACACCAGCCAGGGCACCTAGTGTTTTAAATAATAGATATTATTTGTGTTATTTTTTAATGGGTAATAGTTATTTTAAATAAAATAAAATGGAAGAGAAGGCAATTCGGCAATTCTGAAACTTCAGCAAATTTTATGTTTGATGTATTTAAAATATTTTTTTTTGCCCTGACCAGTGCGGCTCAGTTGGTTGGGCACTGTCCCACAAAGTGAAAGGTCACAGGTTTGATTCCGGGGCAGGACACGTGACTGGGTTGCTAGTTCAGTCCCTTGCTGCACAGGGCATGTATGAGAGGCAACAGATCAGTGTTTCTCTCTCACACCAATGTTTTGCTTCCTCTCTTTCTCCCTCCCTTCCCCTCTCTCTAAAACTAAATTAATAAAAATTTTAAAAATATTTAAAATAATTTTCTTGGTGTAATTTACTTATCAACATATTTTATAAGTTGCTTGTAGAGAATATCCTGCTAGATAGCGTTCCACTTAGTAGGATAAGATAAAATAGGAAAGAAACTGAGAGACATGCTACAGGTGATAAATGTAGATTTCATTACAAAATGGATGGTGTAACTACAATTCTGTAAAAGGTAGGTGTATGGGTAGAAAACAATGCAGGGGTGTTCACCTCTAGCCCATGGGCTGCATGTGGCCCAGGATGGCTATGAATACGGCCCAACACAAAATCGTAAATTTACTTAAAATCTTTTTTTTCTCACCAGTTTTTGGTAGTGTTTGTGTATTTAATGTGTGGTTCAAGACAACTCTTCTTCCAGTGTGGCCCAGAGATGACTTCCAGTATGGCTTTAGTATCTATATCTAATCCACATAGGTACTAAAATGCTAGCAGCTGTTCCCAAAAGATGGTAGAAATACAGGTGTTTCTTTCATCATAGTTTTCTGTATTTTCAACAGTGAACTTTTATCACTTTTAAAATTAGCTAAAAGGTAAATGTAAGTAATATAAAAATGTAATGCATCTGACGAAAAAGTTTATGTCCAAATGCTAGAACTAAACTCATTTGAATTAGTGTCCACTCCATCCCCAAACTCCATAGTAACAGAGTAGAAACACTAAGCCCTTGTTTGATTTTAATTAAAGAAATTAGATCTAAGTTCCTTCATTAAGAGAAGGTAATCTTTAGCATCACTGAAAGAGTTGATTAGAAAATGAGATAAAAATCAAGAGATAATATTTCTTTATTACATATAAAAATTAACAAAGCAATATATATATATATATATATTTTGCAAGTCCACAGGACCTCAGGAAAAAAATATGTTCTTTATGTGAAGTTAATTTTATGGCACTGCGGTTTATGTTTTATATATTCAAGTACAGGAGAAACTATATGTAGAGTGGCTATCCAGGGTACAGAAGATGAATAATAATGAAAAACTGTAATTTTGTGAACTATCTCATACATTGTGTCAAAAAATGAGTAAATACAGATGGCCATATACTGTTAATAAAGAAAAAGAAGGAAATGTTTCAATATTTAGGTTTAAATACTAAACACAAAAATGAAGCAAATTCTGTGTATACAAGAATTTTTGAAGTGAATACAGTGCATTGTAAATAAGTGAGCTTTTTAAAATTGAACATTCACTTCCTTTTTGCAAAGCATATTTCTATACTTATGATTTCTTTCTCTTATTTTAAAGTCTCTCTTTGTTTAGTTTTTTAAAAAGTTTCATCATGGCCAGTAACTGTGGGATCTAATCTGTAGCCCGAAGCTGAGACTTCATGCAAACGCATTCTCCTTTAAGGCTGCATCTTCACATAGTTTTTCCAAGTGTTCAGAGTCACATAGTACAACTTCCTTTTTCTGGCCATTTGTGTCCACATGTAGCGGCAGTGCTTCTGTTTCAGGAGGTTTTGTATACATCCGTTTCTTTTCTTGCTGTTGACAGCATCTCCAAACTTACACAAGTGGTAGGCAGTAAAGTGCTTTATACAAAGTACTATATATATGTGGGGAGGTCCCTCTTAACACACCACAACGGAAGTTCACACACATCACGCAAGAGAAGGCTCTTTTTAAGAAACACCTTTTCTGATAGAAGAGTTGAGGAGTCCTTAAAATCTTATTAATTACTTTTTTAAGTAGCACAAATGTAAGTAACATATCTGAAGTTGGGAGGAGTCCTTGTTATATGTATTGCGCTTAATGGATTACTGTTAAATGTCACACTGCTATTAAAATATTTTTAATACTTAGGAATTTCAGAATTGTTTCCATATAAAACAGGATTCAGCATAGATTTTTTTCACTCCTCTTTATGGAGCAATGTGTATTTAAGCATGGACCCAAAAGAAATAGGTTAGACAAGGCCCGTGCTTTGGAACATTTCTATACATTTTGGCACTTAAAAAAATTCCAGTTTCATTACTGAGGTCTTCTTTCCAATAAGTTTGTGTTTTATACGTAGAGAAGTGCCATTATGTGCCACACACCTTTACTGCTACTTGCACTCTCTTTTTAAAATATTCATGATTTTTCTTCTAAGAGTTGGTTTCCATCGCTGAACAAAACTTTTCATATTCACAATGAGTCTGCCTTTTCTTACATCCTCATGGCCTGCTACAAGGTACTCCAAACCTAAAAGAAAATAAAAGGAGCTATATAGTATCATGACTTTTTGAGGAGGGAGAGGTGACTTCAGTGTTTTTATGTATGCATAGTTAATGGTTTTATATATTCATGGTTGAAATAGGGAATAATAGACAATAACAGCTGACATTTAATAAGCATTTGCTAAGTGCTTTATACGTATGATCTCATTAATTTTAAAAATAACCTTATAAGTACGTATACTTTTTCTTCTTGTATTGCAAGTGAGGAAACAGGCAAGGTTAACCTTGGCAAGGTTAAGAATTTGTTCAGTGTCTCTCAGTAGTAGCAGCGCTTCAATGTAAGCTCAGGTGTATCTGATTATAGAACTATTACTCTATATTCTACCACCCTCTATGGCAAAGGAGTAAGGATTCCATAGGCTGTTAACATACCACCACAAATAAGTATTTCCTGGGGACTCATTATGTATGGTAGTATATATTAAGGAGAATTTTATAAAAGTTTAATAACCATTTGAGAAAACATATTGGACAATAGCTATGGATTACACAAAATAGCACATATTTCCTAAATAAAGTCAATGTGCTTTTGAAATATAGAATGTTTGTTATGCATTTTTTAAAAGGGTGAGAATCGACCAGACCTAGAGTTGATTTTGCTGACCCCTTTAATGAAAAATTCCTCTCAGGCTAACACACACACACACACACACACACACTGAAAAGACAGTTTCATTATCTCTATAATAAATATATCTCTATATTTAAAATTTATATTTAAAATTAAAAATATCTCTATATCTCTATTAATAAAAAGAAATATTATAATCTCCCTCAGTATGTATTTATAATAATATCAATATTGGTATTTTGAAACATTTTTATTAATATTATTGGATAGAACAAATAAGTAATTAGGTTTATAAAATAATAATTTCCAATATAAGATAAAAAAACATATACTTTAAAACTCAAATTTATTAAAAAATTTTAAAAATATTTTATTTCTTTATTTTTAGAGAGAGGAGGAGGGAGGGAGAAAGAGAAGAAGAGAAATATCAGTGTGTGGTTACCTCTCATGCGCCTCCCACTGGGGACTTGGCCTGCAACCCAGGCATTTGCCTGGGAATTGAACCAGTGACCCTTTGGTTTATAGGCTGGCACTCAATCCACTGAACCACACCAGCCAGGGCTTAAAACTCAAACTTAGAAAAATCACGAAATATTAAAATTCAATTGAAAATATCTATTTAAACTCATGGTTTTAAAATATAAATTTTTTTTGTCTATTCACTGAAATGAATAGAGAAAATGCCCTTCCATGAAATTATTGGCTCAGGAAGGGATTACCAATTGGTGATAAAATCATTTAAGTGGTTAATGAGAAACTTGATGTTTATATAGTGACTAAGTAACATGACACTCATTCTTTTCTAGTCTCAAAAGGGAAAACAAAACTGCCCAATGGAGAGATCAAACTGTTTGACTCTAACCCAAGCAGCAAGTTTTAGCAGCACTGATGGGGGTTCATCCAGGTACTATATGTCTTCTGATGTGATTTAACATGAAGTACCAAACATGAAGAAGTGTAATGAATTTTAGCCAAAATGTTTATCTTGCTTCCATCAAGCTTTTCTTTAGAGTACGGAAAATAGCCCTGGCAGGTGTGGCCAGCCAGTAGATTCAATCAGTAGATTGAATGCCAGCCTGTGAACCAATGCCAGCCGTGAACCAAAGGGTTGTCAGTTTGATTCCCAGCCTAGGTCACATGCCTGGGTTGTGGGACAGGTCCTCAGTAGGGGGCGTGTGACAGGCAACCACACATCGATGTTTCTTTCCCTCTCTTTCTCCTTCCCTTCCCCTCTGTCTAAAAATAAATTTAAAAAACTTTTAAAAAATGCATAGAAAGTATGGGAGGTAGAGCGACAAGCTAAATGACAGCACAAGGAACCAAACAAAATGTGGAAGAGTAGGACAAGACAGCCTGCCTGCTTTCTTCAACAATAATAATTTTTTAAACAAAAATAAAAAGAAGCTGTACTTGAATAAAAGGGACTTGAAGGACTTAAAAACTAGACATAGTGTGATCCTGGATTGAACACTGGCAAGAAGAAACCAGCTCAAAAGAACATTTGGGGATCACTTGGGAAATTGGAATACGTGTGGACTATGGTCTGAGTATTAGATTATATGAAAATAAATTGAAATTGAAATTAAAGATCATTAACTGAATAAAATAGATTGTAGAATAAAACATATATGATGACTTCATTTTGGTTAAAAATATGATATATATGTGCAAAAAGAAAGATCTGGAAGGATTTTCACTAAGATGTCAACTAACAGAGGTGTTCTCTGGGGGGCAGAAATGTGAAATTTTAAATTTTCCCCTAAATTTCTATGATATACATCTATTGCTCCTAAAAGAATGAAAGGTTGTTTTAAAAGATTATTAAAATAAATAAATCCTAAGTTTAAAGATAGCTATGATGGTGTTTTCAAAAAAAGAGAAATAAAAGGAGAATAATGACATAGAGAGGTTTAAACACTGGGGAGCACAAATGCAAGATGAATTATAAGGTATTAAATTCTTTAAAGGGTAACCATAGCTTCTGCATGGAAAGAATCTCTATATTTAATCAACAGACTAGTTAAAATGCAATAGAATGCTCTTGATATTATTTGTATTATCTCTAAAATAATAAAATTCTCATTAAAATTATAATAAATAATTTTTAGGAAAATTTAAAGTCTAGTATTTTAAATGAATTTACTTTGAAACTATAAGTAGAACAAATAATATAGGAATTTGCTATTAATTTAAAGTATAAATATAAATTAAACTAATAAAAATGGTACTTAATAAATCCATAAATTATGGAACAGCCTCATGCTGAAAATCAGCATGAAGAACAATATTATATTGTATTATTTGTTAGCATTTGCATTTTGTTTTCCTATCTCTATGTTTTTGACATCTACTTTGCTACATATTTGAGGAAACAAAGTTTATTTTGTACCCATAAAAAAGAATATATAACAATCTAGTACTAGTCTTGATATTATAAAATATAAGACTAATGAATGAATGTAGGAACAAATGAATTCTCAGGGATGCCCAATTAGATTGCTCCTTTACGAAAGTAGCAAAGGAAGCAAGTTGGAGTGTAAGGTTTCAGAATTTTCTTATCAGCTTTCTTTGGCTTTGGCTATTGAACTTGTAAAAATGGAAAAACAAAGTGAAATGAAAGAGTGTCTGGTTTTGCTTTGGCAGGTTCCAGTCTTTTCTTCAAAGTGAGTAAACATGTTTTCAAGAATTCTTTGAATAACTGTGCTTATGCTTTCAATTGTGATGAACTCAGTTGATTCTTTGTTTGGCAGAAACCTGATTAGGAAGTATAGTTCACTTCCTGGAGGGTGGATCAGATGGTCAAAGCTTTTGTTTTTAATGTCTGGCTGAAAAACTGGGCAGATTTTTTTTCTTTTGCCAAGATAGTAGAAAGGGCTTATAGGAAGAGCCCCTGTACACAGATATTTGGGAAGTGGAACACAGATGAATGACCATTCCTTTCCTGTATTCAAAATTCAAGATTCTGTTTACTTGATTTGTTTTTTGAAACTTTATTTATATATGTATTGGTCTCAAATGTCTTTTATTCTTAAATTTTAAATTAATTTAAATAAAATATTGAAGGAGTATAAAAGAGTGTGAGAGATTAGTTAACAGTAGAAATAAAGTCAAGAAATGTATATCATTCATTGTTTAGATGGTTTGGGTTGGGGGAGCTATTTTATTAATAGTTTTTTTCCTCTCTTTCTTAGTTATCTGTTTGTTTCTCTCAAATTTATTTGTCAAAGACCACAAGCAACTTGTTATTAATATAACCTTGGTTTCCTGGACTTATATTTGGTAGGAATTATATTTAGAAAAGAAATTATGAACTTGTTTCAACAATGACATTAAGACACAGATAAGTAACTACACAAACTAGGAAATACAGAGGATTAAAAAAATTGTTTGTTTTGCTACAATTTACTATTTGGGAACTATGTTACTATTATTGGGTACTAATGGTAAGTTCTGGGTGTACTATCATCAAAAGTCTAAATCCTATCCTCAAACTTAATGAGGGAGACAAGAAAAATAAAGCAGTTTATGACACAATAGAGGAGTATACTTATAAAGGTATGAATCCCTTGCTTACTTGCTTGTCTCTACCTCTGCCATAAGATTTTAAAGTACAAATTTCACTGCATGCCAAGTTTCTCTAAGATTTCACAAGGGTTTTTTTGGGGGGGTGTTGTTTGCTTGCTTGCTTATTTATCTCTGCTCTTTCTAGTTTGAAACCAGAATGATCATTTAATGAAAAATAAGATGATAACTTGGGAGTTGTTTTCTACACAGGAGAAACAGATGCTTCTCATGCAACAGTAAAAATGAATTCAATATTATTTTTACAGGTGGAATTTTGCATTTGAGCTTCCTTTGGGAGCAAGTTCTACCCAGGGCACCGTAATGGGACCTAGCTTTCAGATACAGTGTTAGTGGCAGATAAATTCATGAAAGTACTTTCTATGCTGCTGACACCTGGAACCAATCTGCAACTTCTCTTTTAGGGCAGAGAATATTATATTGATGGATTTTAAAGTATTATACTTTAATAGAGCACCTGGAGGAGAAATAGTTTTTTGATGTCAGTTCAAAGAATTCCATTTGGGCTTTCCAGAATTCAGATGTGAAAAGGAGAGATGTTCTTGCAGAGTTTATTTAGGTTGTGGTTCAGAGAATGTAAGACAAAGAGCAATTCAGCATAGAGAAGGTAGTTATTAAGCTAGAAAAATCTAATGCTCACCAGGATTGAGGATTGGACAGGTGCAGCCTCTGTTAGTCCATGATTCTGGATACAATGTTCGCATTCCTCGTAAAATTTTCAGTTTGGTAGATTTTAAGACTTTTTTTATCTTCACATTGACTTCAGCATGAGATCCTTTATCATGAGCTGATAAAATCTTTACTCTTAGCACTGTAACAACATAATTTCAAAAATCAAAATGCATAGAATTTCATATCTTTTTGAGGTTTGAACAACAACTTAAATATATACTTCAGAGTATAATGGAAAAGTGAATTAATGATGATGAGAATGTGAAAATTAGCCTTAAAAATTATTAGGCTCAGAATTTTTTACTGGCTTCATCTAAATCAACTATACTCTTCCTTCTAATATAGTTTCTACTGCTACTCATTCCCATATCACTATGCTAAAAGAATATTAGCCATTTGCCTACTGCAAGTATAATCTTAAAACACATTCAGCTATCAACTAAATAGAAGATATGTAGGAAGTAGAATTGCTGTCCTGGCTTTTATTTAGATTCTAACTATACTACACTCTTCTGGTTGATTGTGTACATTATGACAAAGAGCAAATGCTACTCCCAGGACATATTTTAAATATCTTAAAAAGATTAAATATGGTTATTATTATTCCCCTTGTATAAAATGCAAGCTGACTGGGGTTAGGGAGGCTATACTTCTAAATACATGATGACAGAGTTCCAGTATTCCATATGACTCATAATTCTGTTATGCTCTAACATCTATGAAATGGATGAGGGGGCGGGAATTAAGCAATGGGATAAATTGGGGTAGGGAAGAAGTTAGACCTAAGGAGCATTGGATGCAATATTCTGTATTATTAGTTTTTATTGGTTCATCTGTATCTTGATGAAAGATTGTGTGTAATAAGAGAACCCTATCCTGGCTGGTTCCATATTCATAAGACTGTCAAACAGCTGTCTTTTTAGAATCACCAAATTTTAGATTTCTAAGGGGTTATAAGAACTCATCTAGTTTTGCTTTATGTATAAGGAGGCAAGTTTTAAGAAATTAAGTGAACTGCTCAAGTTTGCATGGCTGGTTGGTTAGAGGTAGTGTTTGGATTAGAATTCTGATGAGATAGTTGCACGAAGGGTACATAGCATAGTACATCACACATAGCCAATGCTCAAGGGTTACTTTTGGCATTTTGGGGATATTTTTTTCACTAGATTGTAAGCTCAAAGACAGTAGGGACCTTGTCTGTTCATAATGATAGCTCAATAAGTATTTGCTAAAGGAAAAATCAAATAAATCAAGTTTTTTTCCATTAAGCCAGAGAATGGGGGGTCACTTTTTTCTCCCAAGTCTGTAGGTGTATTGTATTTAATAAGAGCAAGATATTTTATTACATCATTAAAGGCATTTAAATTCTTTTAAGCAGAAAATAATACAATTGTATTAAAAGATGCCGAAGTACAATAGTTCTTTGGAAAGTCAGTCAGAGAGCTACTGAACCTATGCAATAATGAAAACCAATTGATATTTCCACTGAACTGACTGACTTTGAACTAAATGGGTTCTTTTTCTTTTTTTGCTTTTAATAGTAAATACCATTATTAGGCACTATATATTTCAGAATTTTATTCTATTATTTAGTCAAGTTGGCAGGATAAAGGAGAGAAATATACATGTTAATTTTAGGTAAGATTTAAGAGGTTTTTAACATTCACATTTTTATCTCTTATGAGATTAAATACAAAGTTATCAAGAACCTAAACACTTGGTTTCAGAGATCATAACTTAAAATTTTCTCTTCATTGTAATCCATATTTCAGGTCCTATAAATATGGAACAATAAAAAGCCCAGACACTAGTCAATAATATGTTGGCAAGATAAGGTATCTTTAATACATTTAATACTAATACATTTAATAGTAAATATAACGTAATTTAGAATTTGAATATAGTAATAGTTTTTATTTAGGGCAGTGACACTTCTTTATCCATGTGCTGCATTTTTATGGTATTTGAAAGGTAGAGAAATACAGAGTATACAGAGGGGATAAAAATGCAGGCAAACAATTCATATCTTCTTACTCCTCAGATATGTAAGTTCTCTTCCTCCTCCCTACCATTTGCTGAGCATCTAGTAAGAGCAAGGCAATGTGCTTTAAAAAAAATCACATTTCATGGGGAAGGTGGCATTACCCCTGCTTTACAGACAAGGAAGCCTGGAGAAGTTAAGTCACCCACCCAATAAACCAGAAATGAAACCCATATAGGTGTGAAACCACCAATGTTTGAGCTCTTGAAATACTGCTTTAGATTGATTTCTGCTTAGTATTACCTGATAAACTGCCACAGGAATTGTTCAAGTGTCTAGAGACTTCCCTTTTAAATAACTAAGACAGGAAGCATCATAAGAAAGGATTATGTGTCATTTTTTTCCTTTTTGTTCTTTGTTTCTTTTCCTTGTAGCAGGGTAACCTTGACTTTGCTCTACAAGTCTTATGACCTCACCAGGGCATTCAACCCCATCTCTATTAGGAAAATCAAGTCCAAGACCAGAATACTATGTTTAACATTATTATATAAGACTAATGCTTTAAGATATTGAGACTGTCATACACCAGGCCTCACATTTCCTAGAAAACTCTGTACTTAGTTTGAATAAATTTTCAGAAGCATTTAAGGATTTCAAACTCACCATATGTATATTTCATCCCACAGAATGCCTTGGAGTTTCCTAACACTTGTTCCTTACATTCACATTTACCTACAGAAATTAAATGAGGAATGGTGTTATTTAGAAACAAAGAAAAAAAGAAATCAGCAAGTAAATCTAAGTAACATAACTCTTTAAAGCTTGAGTTATAAAACATAATTTATAAAACATAATCCATAAATACTAAGAAAACATGAAAAGTCATTCAAAAGAAATAGTCACTTCCTGAACTGAATTAGTTATTATCTAGTCAAGTACTAGTCTAAGAGAAATATAGAAATGTAGAAATATTGATATAATTTAATGCTTATAATTGATGTTGTGATAAATATAGTCCATGTTAATGGAACAACTATAAAAATAGTTAACCTATAAAAACAATGATATTTTTAGGATTATTGTTCAAAATAAAATAAAGTAATTGGACAGTCCTTTGAAGGTAATGCCATTTAATTTAAAAAATGTTATTGAGCCCTATGGTAGGCAGGATGTGATGTTATGCACTTCAGAGCATGTAAGTACCAGCAAGACTCAATTCTTGCCTTAAGGCTTACAACTCAGTAAGGTGAATAAAGAAAGTATATACTGTATTTTTCAGACTATAAGATGCACCACCCCCAAGTTTGGGAAGAATAGTGGTTGTTAATGCTGCTGTTGAGTTCTGTTTACATTTACATTGGTGAAATATTATGTTATTTATGTTATTAAATATTTTACCACATTTTTTTGCTTCAAAAATATTTTCCTCTAAAACCTAGGTGTGTCTTATGGTCCAAAAAATATGGTAAGTCATGATACGTTTTCTAAGACAGGTACAATGTGCCTGGGCGGGAAGTCACATGTTTGAGAAGATAGAATAAGCTTCATACCTGAACACCCGAACAAGAATTTGAAATGGATTTTGAAGAACAAGTAGTATGTGTTCTATCAATAGTTGAAATGATATACTACAATTGTGTGTCAGAGATTTGCCAGGCCTTGCAGAACACTTTCAAAATGCCTTTGTACTTACTCTCTATACAGCATTTTCATGCTTATTTATTTCCTCTCTAGACTATAATCCTTGAAGACAAAAGTTATGCCTTATTCATCTCTGTATTCCTAGAATCCAGAATGGATAGAATTTTCTTTCTTACTAATTTAACAAATAAATATAATTTCACCCCTTCCCTCACCAGTCCCCTCTTTCCTCATGCATTGCATTTCATGGACATCGAGTGGAAATAACAGCAGGCAACTTTTACTGAGGAGGGCTTATGTACCAGGCAGGCACTACTGTGTTTTACATTTATTTACTGATATAAGATTCTAATATATAATAATTTGACATGAATATAGAGATAAAAGGGTGAGAAAAAAAGGAAGAGAGAAAGGGCAGAGTGTGCTCATGGAAGAGTGAGTGGTTCTGTTTCTCCCAGGTTCAGACTGAGTAGAGAATAGGGGAAGGTGTCATGGAGGACCTTGATTGATGTGTAATTCAGGCCCAAATTTAATTTGTTAGAGAAATGGGAATTTTCAAAGCAGCAGTTTAAAGAAGTTATTTAAATAAAAAAATATATAGTGGGGGAAGGGGTGGGTGGAGGTGGAAGAGGTTATGGGAGGATAAATGGTAATGGGAAAAATACAATAAAACTATATATATAATTATATATATTATATACTATCTATATACATTATATATAAACTATATATATGAAAATCAATCTGGTGTTATATCAAAAGTATTGGAATGAAGAGAAATGAAGGCAGGGAACAATCAGAAGCTAGTGAAATTAGTAACAACAACAGTAACTAAACTGAGTGCCAACTATATAAGGAATTTATTATCCATATGATCTTGTTTAATTTTATAATAACCTTAATTAGATAGGTATTATTAAAAATGAAACAATGAAGGCTCAGAGTAATTAATTAGTTCATTCAAGGTAGCACAGCTAACACATAAAAAAGGCAGATTTTAAGTCTGGGTTGGAGAAAGCCCCTGATCTTTCCACTCTACTGTCTTTGTAAGTCATATGGAATGTGGGTCTGACAGGTGGATCTAGACAGGAAGAAATATCAAGGGATGCTGCAGAGATAGGGTCTACCAATCTCGCCAATGGTGAGCGAAGGAGGAGCATAACAAATCTGAAATTTTCAGCCAAGCCAACAAGAGAAGAGTGTATTGCTACTGACAGGAATAGGGAAGTTGAGAGGAGGAGAGCATTTTAGAAGTGTATAATTAATTAAGATTTTTTTGGTGGCAATAAATTGTCTAACTTAATTATTGAAAGCATGGGGCGTAGCTCAGACAGGAGAAAAAGCTGAAGGGCTGGAGCTCAGAAAGGACAAGAATCAGGAGAGTGCAGAGATCTAGGAACTATTGGGTAGTCTTTTTTACAGCTTCACCACTGGAATCATGAACTTGAATCATTTTCAGGTTTTGTAACCTCTAGTAAAATATTTAAATTCCAGGGACAGAACATCTGCTTGGCTTCTTCAAGAGTCTATTAAATGGGGGAAGAGTGCTTCTCCAAAGAAAAATGGGGTTGAGCTACCACAGAAATAGTGGGGAAAAAGGGGAAACTAATCTAGTCAGGCAAAACACAACAGAGATCTATGATGAAGGGAATGTAATGAACTAGAGATGCTGAGAGAATATTCAGGTGGAAATGACAGTAGAATTCTGGTGAGACACATGATTGATGTGAAAAACAGTGACTTATTGGCTCTACCTAAAGCTTCTCTAGGAATCAGGGAATGAAATTTGCAAGGAGAAAATCACAGTAGAATTAAATAGTAAGAGAAATCAAAGGTGCTTATAGTGAGCTATTGTGATTTGTTAAATAATTCTGCTTTTAATCTAAACACAGCAGAAAGGATTACTCATTCAGAAATTATAGTAACTTAAGTGAACAGCCTACAGCCTTTGATTTTTCCATTAAAGCAGGACAGCGTGGTAACTATCATGCTATAAAAACTAATGGAATTCCAAATGGCATATATTATTCCTTAATATAATGTTCTTCTCTTTAGTCCTCCAGCCTATGAGAACATATGTAAGTCTGTTATTCAAAGACCTTTCTTTGGCTGCTTTCTGGTACCGCCTTTTAATATGTTAAGATATCGGGCAATAAAGGTTGTCTTTGAATGAATCTCTGTTGATCAGGCTTCAGCCTAGATCTGTTTTCTTAATAAAAAATCTAGAAGGACAGGAAAACCTGTTTAGCTATACCAAGGTATTAGAATGTTAGGAGAGAGAGACAGAGAGAGGGAGATAGGAGAAAAAGGGAGGGGAGAGAAGGAAAGGGCATTGTTTACAGTTTTTTGGTACTAAATCCAGTTTTGTTGTACAGAAAGTGAAATTTTACATCTGATGTTCTCTACCTCACAAGAAGTCACAGAAATTAAGAGTGTCTTATGGGTGTAGGATATTGCATTCTTAGTTATGAAAATTTATGGTAGGTAAATATGTAAAGGCACATACATTTGAGAATAAATCACAGTGCTTAGGAAACTAATTATCACTTTTCTATTGAAAAAAGGTAGCCAGGAGTACTATTCTATACCCAATGTAAATATTGCTGTTTAGCAGGCAACTGAACAATGTCTTCTACAAGCTGGAGCTTTTCCAGATGAATTTCAGAGGCTCTCTGGGGACGTCATAGACCTAACAGCTGTTGTGAACGTGAGAGTCTGGAGTCATTCTGATGCCAGTGCTTTATGTGCTTAATTAATGTGCTGCCAGCTCCCTAGTAACATGATGACTTGCTTAATGAGTGTCTTAAAACAATTTTTATAGATTGGCATAGCAGACGAAGTTGGAGAATTATGAACATCATTATCTTAGAAAAATGGAAGGAAACTTTCAAAAGTGGTTATTAAAATCAGAATTCAGATTATGTCGAATTAAGACAAAAAATAATGGGAAATATTTTTTCTTTATCAAATGTGAAAAGATAAATATGACAAGTTTACATTACCTTATCCTTCCCACCTTCTTCCCTGTTGTGAATTAAAATGAAACCATTAGGAAAATGATCCTGATTGTTAAGTGAAAAAACCATGATACGGTATTATAAATACCAGTGTTTCTCAAATTTGGGTTCTTTATTCTTAAAGGGTCCATAAATTCTTTAAAAGAATGAATTAAAATTGCAGTTTCTAACTCTGCTTCAGCCATACTGGTCTCCTTGCTGTTTCAGGAATAGGTCAGGCCTAATCCCACATCAGGGTTTTTGCACTTGCTGGGCCTTCTTCATAAACTTTTCCCTCTGTTATCTGTATTGTTCACCCCCTTACCTCCTTCAGACTTTTTCCCCTCTAATTCCACCTTTCACAGAATTTTCCCTGATCACCCTATCTAAAAGTATGGCCTTCCCAAGCATTTCCTTTTTCCCATCCCTTTTTAATTTCTCTATTACACTACATATTATTACATAAAATATTTTACTTATTTATTAGCTGTCTTCTTCTGCAAGAATACAGGCTCCTCAGAGGCTGGGATTTTTGTCTGTTTTGCTCAATTACTATATTTACAATATTGGCACATAATATTGATACTCAAATATTTGTTGGATGAAGGAATGCATTTATAAATAACTTCTACATATTAGTAAGAAAATCGCAAATAGAAAATTCACAGAAAAAGAAACCTGAATGACCAAGAAACCATGAAAAGTTACCAAACCTATTACTAATCAAGAAAATGCAATTTAAAATGGTGAGAATCCCATTTTATACCCATCAAATTGGCAAAAGTCGAGAAGTTCAATAACATTAACTTAAAAATCCAATAACTGTTGAGTTAAACTGTGACTGAATTAATGAGTGAGATTAGTGCTTAGCCCCTGGTGTGTGCCATATGAAAATTTGTTAAATAAATACAGAATGTTACTGATGATGTGTGATGTCATATTTTTCTGGTGGAATGCAAATTTATACAACCACTTCAGAGAGCTATTTGGCAATTTGTAGTAAGCTTGGCAATAAGCACACCCATGACCCAAAGTGTTGTGCCCTCCAACAAGGGTCGGCAAACATTTTCTATAAAGGGACAGACGATAAATATTTTAGGCTTTGTGGGTCAAGAGGCAAAATCAAAGATATTATATAGGGACTTAAATAATCATTTAAAGTGTAACCATTTAAACTTTAGAGCAGGTAGAGCTCATGGGCTATAGAAAAATAGATGGCAGGACAGATTTGGCCTGAGGACTATAGTTTGCCAGCCCCTGCTCAAAGAAACTTCTTCTAAATGCAAAGTCACAGATGAGAACATTCATGCTAGCATTATGTGTAATAGTAAAAAACTAGCAATTGGAAATATCCTAAATGGCAAACAAATGGGAAAATAAAAAGTGGTATGTGGATATAATAGAATAGATAAATTAAAAAATATATATCAATACATATTCAGGTAAAAAAGTTTTGAAAATATAGGTAATTTATGTCTGTGATAAATATATACATACATATATATCTATTTACTTTATTTATATATGTTATATATTTATTGATATAATAAAAATATATTTTAATATATATTTACTATGTATATATATAGTAAAATCATGAAAGTGAATGATAAACATCAAAGTTCAAGCTAGTGGTTATTCTGTGGAGTAAGAGAGGCTAGTGAGGTTGTAGATTGGTCTACCAGGGGCTTCAAAAGTATCTGTAACCCTTTAAAATTTAAATGAAAATATGAAACAATTAAGGCAAAGTATAAGATTTGGTAATACTAGAAGGTATGTTTATGGGTTTTTATATAACATTTTGGCATTTGTAATATTTAATAATAAAATATTTTAAAACTTATCTAAGTTTAATTTGGTAAGCAAGCATTTTACAACCACTGACACAAGATTTCATACTTTCATGTTTTAAGGAGCAGGTTGGTGCTAAATAGAACCACTCAATTTTCTATGAGAAAGCAATAGAGGCAAGATGAACACAGAAATCATGTATTCCTACCAAGAGCACAGCATGCTCTTCAAAGGAAGGAACAGATAAACATCACAGGAAAACTGAGCCAGAGGAAATAACAGTATAGACTTAGTAAATTCTAAGAACCATATTTATGTGTTTTGGCTTCATTAATAATCATTTTTCATATTCAATTAATGTTAATTTGAATTTTATTAGTTTTATTATTTGGCTTATATTTAGTTTGTAAAATTGTTTTTGTTTCTTAGTTGTGAAAAAGCTTTAAAAATGAGTTCACATCTAGAGTTTGTTTGTACATATTAAGTTACCCTAGGTAAGAATATTTTTCTTTTAAATGGATCTGTACTTTTCTTAACCTGATATATTCAGTTAGCATTCACCTGTGCAAAACAGTATGTTTTATAATTAAAAAAAAGATTTTATTTACTTAATTTTTAGAGGGAGGGAGGCAAGGAGAAAGAGAGGGAGAGAAACATTGATCGGTTGTCTCTCACATGAGCCCCAACAGGGGACCAGGCCCACAACCCAGGCGTGTGCTCTGCTGGGAATCAAACCAGAGACCTTTCACTTTGCAGCAGGACACTCAACCAAATGAACCGTACACATCAGGGTGTAAAGCAGTGTGTCTTAGAGAGAAGGAAACACAGCAGAGTATTAACACTATGGTAAAGAGATTTAGGTGACAATTTTTTTTACTACAATGCTTTACATTTTCCAAATTTTCTATACTAATTACTTATGTTACTATAATTATTAAAAATAAATAAAAGCTTGTTAAAATACCTCTTAGTTATATTTAATAGTTTTATACTTACGTGATCACTACTTTATTAAATGCCAAAACTAAAGAGTTCCCCTATAGGATCCAAAAGCTGCTTTCTGGTTTGCGATGAATCACTATTAATCAAGACCAGACTCATAGATAGAGAACAGGCTCACAGCCCAGGGGGTGGGGGTTGGGGGCAGAGGTGAAGAGGGTGGTGGAATTGAGCAAAAAAGAAAAAAAGAAAGAAAAAACTCCTGGACATGGACAACAGTGTGGTGATTGCTGTGGGGGGAGAGGTAAAGGAGGACATGGGGGCAGTAAATGGTGGAAGGGTGATGAAACACAATACAGTGTACAAATGACGTGTTGTAGAACTGTGCACCTGAAACCTGTATACTTTTGTTAACCAGTGTCACCCCAATAAATTCAATAAAAAGAAAAAAAAGACCCAACTCAAAAATATGTTATAGTCTCACCTGAATGTCGAAGTGCAGAAAATCCTTGCTCATCTTCCCACTCCCAGGTTGGTTCACTATTATTTTGTATGGAATGGAAGTCAGGAATTTCATGATACCAGTCTATGTCTGTGCTGCTAAAAAAAAAAAGAAAATGATGAATACATTTTTTCAGAACTCTAATGAAATGAGTAAATTTATACACATTCAAGCCTTTTCAGCTACCTTCCCATCCTTTCACTTTTCAGAAATAAACATGATTATAAGGCCAGTTGTTATGAAGAATAATTTATTTTACAAAATGAACTAGACCATCTCTAGAATCTTGGAAGAATAAATGCCTTGATTCTCAATTCGACAACAATTTCTTTAAAAAATTATTTATTTATCTTTAGAAGGGAAGGGAAGGAGAGAAGGAGAGAAATATCAATGTATGGTTGCTTCTGGTGGATCCCCTGCTGGGAACTGGCCCCTGCTGGGAATTGGCCTGCAACCCAGGTATGTGCCCTGACGGGGAATCGAACCACTATCTTTTGGTTCTCAGGCCCGTGTTCAATCCATTGAGCTATACCAGCCAGGACAACAATTTCTGAAACAGATGTGCAAACACATCTTCACCCCACTGATGGCATGCAAGATTTTCTACATCACTACTGGACCTTCAAAAGAATCTGAAAGACACACAGATGAGAACAAGAACCATGCACATTTACCCACTGATGCAGTCTCCTGTGAGAGGGTCGCAGCTCCCTGCACAGTCGCAGGGCCTGCAGCCATAGTTTCCGAAGCCCCAGTATCCCACCATACACCTGTCGCAGCGTGGCCCTGCCACCCCAGGCTTGCATGGGCAGTCCCCATTGCTGGGGTCACAGAAGGTCATTGAGCTGAAAGGAAGGACAGCTGATCCAACTGGATGGCAGGAACACACTACAACAGAGAGGACACACAAGGGCTAATGAGTGACTAGATTGTGGAGATTGGGCCTGGCAATCTCAAAAATCCCTTTCACCACACAGCATAACTCTGAGGCTCCTCTGTTAGCCAACTGGTATAAGCTCAGAGAATAAAATCTAATTAAATTACAAACAAGATGATAAAATCAGAAAAGCATGTCTGCTGCAAAACAAACCACAAAACTTATTATAAAATTGAAGGCATTAAATATGAATAGATTTTGGTTGAGTGACAGGATCAAAGATTTAAAATAAAAGAGCAATTCATGCTACAGAAAAAAAATCACGAAGATGGTGTTCTGGAAGCCAAACAAAGTTTCCAAGAGGTAGGCAACATCAACTGTGTCAAATACTGATATGTCCAAAAAGATGAGGGATGGAAATGAATTATTGCATTTGACAACACGAAGGCAATTAGTGTCCTTGAAAGAAACAATTTCAGGGAAATAGTGAGTGGCAAACTTAATTGAAGAGGAATAAGGAGAGAATGGGAGTAGAGAAGGGTGAGCCTAAGGACAGACACCTCTTTTGGGAAGTTTTTCTGTAAGGGCACAGAAAGAGGTAGCAGCTAAAACTAAATAGAGATATGAACTCAAGTGAAGGTCTGAGTTTTGTTTGTTTTAAGATGGGAGAAATTATGGCATGTTCAGTGTTGATGGAAATGATTCGGTAAAAAGGGAAAAATTGGTGACTAAAAGAGAGATGGAAGAATTGTAAGAATACTTGCTCATACTTGAGAAAGGGAGAAAAGATGATATCTGGTGTAGAAGAGATTGTATTGGCCTTGCTTGTGTGGGAGGATGATCAGTTCATAGTGACAGGATGGAAGGTGGATGGATGCAGGTAAGTAGATAAATGCAGTGGTGGCAGTTGGTGGAATTCTCCTCTGATTATTTGCATCTTCTGGATGAAATAGGAAGCAAGGTCATCAGGTGACAGAGAAGATGGGAGTGGAAGAGTGAATGAGAGACTTAGGAAGTGAAGTATAATTGTCAGGTAGCATAAGGGCCACATGTGAGGTTAAAGTCATTTATTTGTAGTGACTTTGGTTGGTTGTTTCTCCAGTCCTGAAGAAACTGACAGGATTCAGGTTTAATACAGGAAGAAAGATGGATTTAATTTGCATGTGCTGTGGACTGAATGTTTGTGTCCCCCCCCATCCATTTGTTGAAGCCTAATCCCCATTGTGATGGTATTTGGAAGTGGGGCGTTTGGGAGGTTTGGATATGGTCTCAGGGGGTGATGACATTGGTGCCATTATAAGGGGATGAGGAGCAAAGCGCTCTTTTCTCTGTGAAAGATGGGATGCTGTAACAGGAAATGGCAGTCTGCAACCTAGAAGAGAGCTCTCACCAGAATCTGACCATACTGGTACCATGCTCTCAGACTTCCAGCCTCCAGAACTGTGAGAAATGTTTATTGTTTAAGCCACCCAGTCTGTGGTATTTTGTTATAGCAGCCTGTATGGACTAAGACACATGAAGTTAAATCTGGCTCCTTAGGCTAGAATTTATACAAAGCCATTTCTGCAAGTCTTACTCTATTAATCAAGAGTTCTTCCCCTCAGCTCTCTCCCAACATCCATAACTGCTCACTGCTCAGTCTGACAATCCTCAATACTTTCTTTGTTGCTGGGCTAGAAAAAATAGTTGAACAAAGTTTTAAAAATGTGCTTATTGGGCTCATCACAAGTTTGTGTACCTTAACCTCAGTTGGGTCCACTAACCGATGCTCATTAACCTTATTTATTCAATTTTACCTGGCTTTTTTAAAAATTAAAAATTCCTCACAGTGGCCGTCCCAAAATATCCCCAGACTTTTTAATTTACCATAACCACTCAGTATAAAAATTCTAATTAATTAATAAAGTCCTCTGGATAATATCTTCTCCACCTCAAAAGCTCTTTTACAGACTTGCCACTCACTCATACTGTGATCTTGAGAAAGAAATTTAACTTTCCTGAATCTCTGTTTCTTCAGAGAAGTGTCTATATCACATGGAGATTTCATGAGGATGAAATTATTTCAGCAAGGTGCATAGCACAAAGCCTGACACATACTAGGCCAACTTCCTGCTGTCTTCTCAATTAATATTCTAGATCTTATTCCTTCCTTTATTTATTTATTATTTTCTTTGTCATTAAAATCTCAGTTTGGCTTCAAAGCTCAACTACTACCTATGACTTTGGCAAGGTACCTAGCCTCTCATTTTCTTAGTTTTCTTGTCTATAAGATGGAAATAAGAACAATATTTACCCTCATTACAGCTGTTGTAAGAATGAAAGGAGATTATGTATGGAAAACAGTGCAGTGTCTGGCACATGGCTAATTAATAGTGAATTAACTAATTAACTCAGTGAATAATTCCTGTAGAGTTGTAGAATCTGTGTCGGCGTAAAGAATGGTGCCAATCCTGAAGAAACTCATAGCCTTGTTGGGGAAACAGAGGTGTAAACAAAAGATTTACATACTCTGATAAGTATTCCAAGAGAGGTCTACATAAAGTGCTACGGAAGACAGGAGGAAGGGAACACAGGTTTAGGGAATTACACAGGGACCCACAAAAGACGGGTCATTTAGACATCTGAGCTGAACCCAAAAGATGAGTAGGACTCTGCAGTTGAAAAGGAGGAGAAGATAGGCAGTTGCTTATTCTGCCTGGTCTTTAGATACTCTCCCCATTGCATTTCTTTTAAATATTTTTTTCAAAATCTAATTGTGGTTTAAAAAACCCCCCAAAATAACATACCATAAAATGTACCATCTTAACCATTTTAAAGTGTACAATTTTTCCCCATTGCATTTTAAGTTTCTGTATTAGATGTGAAAGCACTTGCTGCTTCCTGAAAATGTGAAGCTCTTTCATGCCTCAGTGTCCCTTGATGTGCATTCATTGCCTTTTGCCACCTTTGAGCATCTGGAAGGTGCTCCATCCACATAGTTAACCACTCTGTCTTCTATGCTGCCTCTGTTCTTTGTATATACTTCTATTTTGTGTATATCACAGTACATCATTATTATTTGTTTATATGCCTGTCTCCCTTACTACTAGACTCTGAACTCATTGACAGAAAGATCATTATCTTCTTACTTTTGTTTCCTAGGCCCCAGAAAAATGTCTGGTAGATGCCCAAATAACCCTTTATGGAATTGACCTGAAGGACATTCAGGCTGTAGAAATCATATGTGAAAGGGCATGGCCTATTGGGGACTACGAGAAACAGTGTATACATTGAGTGGAAAGCAGTTGAAGGTTGATGTTTATCATACATTTGGAGAGGATGTATACCTTATAACATGAATGTATCAAAGTGCTGTATGAAGACTTTAAAGGAAGTCACCTAATCCAATATAAACATTTCATTATTTTGAGCTGAGTAAACCAATAGTTACCTTATCACTCAGTTAAGTCAATTTGGTTCTTGACAGCAGATAGTGGAACCAGGAGACATGATGTAAGACCCACATCTAGTGTAATAGATGGTATTCCATCACCACCATTATCATTTCCTCCAATAGAAAATGCAAGCCTTTCTAGGATTTAACCTCTTTGTACTACCATATATTTTAAAACCTATACACATTTCAGGAATAGCCAGAGAAGAATGTGATTCTATCACATGTGTTAGTAGATTTCTGTCAATGTGACTTTTTACATAATTACAAGATAAAAATACCACTTGGAAACTATGCAGAACTAGCTCCAGGCAGAAGGCCCTGACATCTCTCACAGCATACTTTTTCAGACTGCACACTGAGGCTTGCCTCGCATACCTATCTCCTGAAGTTTGAACAGCAGACAATGTCTGACACACATAATCTGCATCTCTTACTTTCTTCCAAAATACAAATATAGTTCCTTCTTGCTTCAGGAAAAATAGGTTTTTCTTAAATTTTAATTCTGATTTTTCAATGTATATTCCTTATTGTTTGTTGATTCTAAAATGTAACACAAGCACTTAATTTTTACCTATTCATTATGATGAATGTCAAAGTCACAGCCCAACTGGAGTGACATAAAGCCTTACTGCAGCTTCGTTACCTTGTTAGACACAAAACCCAATGTTAAACATTTGCTCTAAGCTGCTTTCACAGCCAAATTAGCAAAACAGAATTATTCAAAATGTCATTTTTAATTCCTAAATAATGTCACAAGTTTTCTTTAAAAATATAAATGACTAGTCCTGACCAGTGTGGCTCGGTGGGTTGAACGTTGTCCCGCAAAACAAAAGGTTGCTGGTTCCATTCCTGGTCAGGGCACATGTGTGGGTTGCAGATTCCATCCCCAGCTGAGACATGTACCAGCAGCAACTGATCCATGCTGCTCTCTCACATTGAGTTCTTCCCTCTCCCAAGAAAATAAATACAATCTTTAAAAAATGTTAATGACTAATTTAAAACAGTATATTCTATACTGATATGTACTTGTTATAAGAAAATCTGAAATAATAATACAAAACATTCAAAAACAGATATAATAGAGGAAATGGGTACTTTTATAAACAATTTCATAACAGGTTCCCTTCAAATAATGGATTTAGATACTTGTCTAATGTTATAAACATTTTATTTACAGATATGTAGTTGTAGCAATACACTTATTATGTGAAGCACTGTCCCTCTATAGAGCATTTATAGAGAAGACTTGGGACATTAGGCTGCTCTAGGAAACTTAACTGTCAGTGAAACAATGGATGAACTCCTTTTTAAAAAAAATCTTGACTAAAGGTGTTCAATGGATGAACACCTTTTTTTTAAAAAAAATCTTTAGTCAAAAAAAAATCTTGACTAAACACACTTACTGGTTTTTTAGAGAGAGGGGAAGTGGGGGGAAGAAACATTGATGTGAGAGAGAAGCAATGATTGGTTGTCTCTTGTATGTGAACAAACCAGGGACCAAACCTGAAACTCAAGCATGTGATCTCACTGGGAATCAAACCTGTGACCTTTCGATCTACAGGACAAGGCTCTAGC